CTTCCCTGAATGCTTTTGTTCTCATCAGGACATCGTAATACGAAGTTAGTAGATTAAGTGACTGTGACTGGATTTTTTTTGTTACTAAATCACAGAATCAGTAGAAGTCAGGAATGCAAATGAATATACTGCTAACATTTTAGTGAGCTCAGATTGATTTTCAGGCAGAATGAAAATTGGCTGAAGGATCACAAAAAGATAATAGTCCACCAAGGAGAAGTACCCAGTGAAATGCTTCAGGGACATGCATTGGGCCTCATGCTATTTAATTTATTTTATTTAGATGACAAGGCTGGCTCTATGGGACACATTTTCAGCTGTGTGGCACTGTAGACCATCTAACTTCAAACACAGAAACATAACTAATGATCAGCACAGTTCTTTTAAGACCAAGTGTTTGTCATGAGTCTGTGCTGCTGTATTTCTCTTTACCCCTTCTTAACTTTAGTAAGCCTTATATGGAGGCTCGTTTCTATCATGTCTATCCCAACTGGCTAGCCCATTGCAGGCCACACAAGTCCTAAAAATTGCTTTGCCACGATTTTGTTGTTATAGATGGCCTTACAAGAGGATTTGCACAATAACTTTTTTGGAGGTTATGTTCCATATAGGTGAAATTCAGCTGACTTTAGGTAGTTGGCCCCTTTCTCCCGCTTCTGTGGATGTTTTTCTAAGAGGCACAGTATAACTCATGCCAAATGTATGGATAAACTGAGAAGGTTGATAAAGCATTTTTTTAGAACCAAATTCTAAATAATTTGTATGATTGCATGTAGCATGTGTTAAGCAAGAATTCCCACAGTCTCATTAAAAAAATAACATGTATTACCACAAACCAGGTGTGATGTGCTATGCTGGGATGACTGTTGGAGATCCAGGGAGAGAAGGAAACAAAAGCAGGTTGTTTAAACAGAAAAACAATGCACAATCATTTAAAGGTAACTGAAAGGGAATGTAGCAAGACTTGTAATAAGCTGGACACAAATATCTCATAAGTAAAATGTCACTGTCTGTTATCAATAGTTCAAGCAAGATCAGTATCAGCTCAAGATTTCTTAGAGCAACCTTACTGCAATCCATACTGCACTGACATTTCTGGCAGCTTAGTGCTGCTTTTCCTTGAAATAATGCAGCAGTCAGCCAAAGGAAAAAAGAACCATATCTGCTATAATAATTTTATAAAATTTATCAGATAGTGTTTTTTTTTTGTTTGTTTGTTTGTTTTTTTTTTTTGGACTTCTGTTTTTTCCCCAGCAGTGTCCTATAAGGAATAGAATGTTTTCTTTAGCACAACATCTTTCCCTCTTGATCTTCTCAACCCTGCACTTAAACAATACATTTCTCTCTGTGCTGCTGTAAACTGATGATGCCATCTTCAGTGCTCTGTACTTACAATATGTTGCTTTCACAAATAAGTCAACTCTGGTCATTAATCTGCAAGAACAAGGGAAGGAGCATGTGGCTACTTAGTTATCCTGAGCTGCTGTGTTGAAGGAATTTTAAGAGAACAATTATTAGGAGTGAAGCATTTTTCAAGTAAAATGTGAAAGTTCAATCTAAACAACAGCTGTCTGAACTGCATGCACTGTCCAGGCTGCATCCACTGTTATGAGTGTGAGGAAGCTCATTAGAAATCGGATAATCACAAGTGATACCTCATTTGTTTCAGGAAGCGTAGTGGTAATTAGTACTTATAAATAGTTATAATTATTGTTCTATCTTCTTTTCATTGTGCTCCATCTCTTTGATTTTTTTTTTTTTTTTGAGTAGTTACATACAAATCATTTGAATGCTTTTAAATCTCTTACAGTGGAAACTCCATGTTATATCTGACCACAGACATTTAAACCTGCATCGTCATTTTAAAATACACTGGTACTTCCCTGTCTCCCACCTCCAGTAATGCTGCACACGCATACTTCAGCATTCCTGTTACTGCTTCAGGTAGAAGCTGGGCTAATGAAAACTGAACCAGATATTCTCCTATGTCCTCCAGGTCTGATGGTGTCCATATTTAACTTCAGATGTGAGTAGTGTCCCTGAACTCAAGGAACGAGGTCATAAAACCAAGAGTGAATGAAAATGTTTGTTGTGCTACAACATAAGAATTTTATAGATAGAGAAACACTTATGACAAAGATTCCAACTCTGCAATTTCTACACTAGTGTTGTTGATAGCTTCCATATGCATAGGTTGTTTTTAGAAGACTGTCAAAAAGAAGGCCTATTTGAATCCCTTTAACTATGAAATTATACTGAAAATAATGGTTTTAGATGTAAGAAAGGAGGATGAAATTATTGAAATTTATAAGAATTAACTTGAGTAAAAACATAAGGATTTCAGAAGTTAAACAGTTCTCAAAACTTGAAGGAAAATAGTGACCTTCTCTATATTTTATGTAGAGCTGAGTTTGCCTCCATCCAAGGAACAAATACTAATTCTTTCACTTGAAGGATGTGGTGCATCCATACTGTGCAGCAACTCAAATATTCATTTATCATGTCCTAATGGATCATGCAGAACACAGCCTTAGTCTAATGCTGAGGTTAGAAAGGCATGACTCATGGAGGCAGAATTCTCATCTGAAAAGAAACAGCTGCAGCCTATGCAAACATGTTTTAGCAGCTGCTGAAAAACTATGATCTGAGAGCTGTTCAGAAATTCATGATATTCCTAAATCATGGCTTCTAAAAAACAGACACATCCTCAATCAAAGGGGAGAAACAACATTTTGTTATCTGGATGCTTTTGCAATATCATGATCACTTTTCTCTTGCCCAGCTATCTCTCAGTGCTCTAATAATTATCAGATCTATCAGTACTCAGATCTTTGACAATTGCTGTGATTCAGCAAAGCAGACGAGTCTGTAACTAACTTTAAAGAAATGTTAATATTTTTTGCTATCTTAGGCTTGCTAATGTAATTATATGACCAAATTTATGCCTAAGTTTATCATAGAGAAACAAAACAAGTACATTTGATTTTGAAGATTTAAAGTACAGCTAACATAAAATGAGATTAAGATTCTAATTGACATTTATTCTATTGTGAAATCAACAACCATTTCTAAATGCCTTCCTGTTTTATCCACATTCTGGCAGGCTGTGGAATCGATCTTGGTCTGCTAGGCTTAGAATTATCAGAAGAATTAATATCCAGTATTTCTACAGTTGGTGGATCTGAATGATGTCTCCGAGGCACTGATTGCTATAATATGACTCTTAAAGCAAGTAAGAGGATTTCAAGTAGAGTGGATTGTTTCCCCTTGCCAGAATTTGAAATTGAAATACATGGTTGTATTTCAGCATTTTTCTGGAAAAAAAAAAAAAAAAAAAAAAGTAACTGATTCACAAATCATAGAAAGTTGTGTTTTTTTTCCCAGTAAAACCCTTCTGAAAGGTAGGAAGTAGTTAAAACTAGAGGAGAAGAATAATCTGTGAAAAGTATTACAACTACTGTGAGTGTCTGTCAGTTCCGAAGCTTCAAAGAGGAACCTGTGTGGTTTCTCAAATGCTCTTGTAGAAACAAACAACATAAGCCCATGACTACTGTGGTATCATATTACTCATGTAGTGCAGACATTCAAGACAGTTTGTAAATATCCAGGCTGCTTTACCAAACCAAGAATTAGCTTTTTCACACACAGCATAAATACTGTTACAGCAAAGGCATTGGTGCACCTTAATGCACTATATGGATGTTGAATAACACGCCTACTTCTAAGATTTGATTTTTCTAGTCAAAAGTACATAGTGTCCCCATAGCACTGAAATACTGCAGAGATGTTGTTTACATTTAGGATGTAATGCATACTTTATGCAGCGCAGTTGGGATGTCAGCAGACCAATGATTTCAACATTCCCATGGAGCACAGTTCATGCAGTGCTGGATACTGCGCACTAAAATGCTGCAACAGGAGAAAACCCAACAATAGCTTTGCTTACTATTCTAAATAATACTCTTTGTGTTTTAAATATTGATTTAATCTGTTTTCTTGTGCCCTACTGCATCCTCAGTCACCTAAGAAATATTTTGGAAGCTTCCTGGACTAGAAGTGAATGTGTCACTGAATTTCCCTTTCCAATTTTCTTTTTTTTTTTTTTTTTTTTTTAACCCTAAAGAGTATGGTTACAGCCTGTTTTAATACCCCCAGTTATGCCTGCATGGGAGCTCTCTGTTGTTCATGAGCGTGTTTTTTATCCCTAGCAGAAAAGGATGATTTACTAGGCGTAATTTCTCAGAGGAGCTCTCAATGCAATGGGAGCAGTAGGGCAGAAACAAGTTCAAGGTACTTCTGTAGACAGGTAAGAGTGTTGTTAGTAAGTAGGGAGGGAACCAGGTAGGTCAGTCTCAAGTAGTGCATTAGAACGTTATCTATGGGAGCCAGAGCCCTGCTGCACATTGCTGTGGCTGCACTGCCACCTGGCGCTGCTTCCCGAGATTACAGCCTCTCTTCAGCGCTGGGTTTGTGTAAAACAGCCGCCAGAGGAGCAGCGGGAAGATGCTGTTGCAGAAGCTTCGACTCGGTTGGGTTATTATATAAATAGATGCGAATACGACAGCGCGTGTGTGTGGGGTCAGGAGCAGTTCAGGGGCGCACTGAGTAACGGGAACGGACAAGGGCTGTGGTCAGCTGTCACAGCCACAAGCAGGGTGCTGCGCATTAGGTATGAAAAGGAAATAAATTCTAATCCCAACTCACCAGGGCGCAGTGCTCCGATCCTCGCAGTGACCCTCCTCTAACAGCACAGAGCTTAAAGAGTTGTTCCTTTTTCCTTGCTTTCTGGAGCTTTGTTGGGCTCATACCTTTCTACGAACGCTTCAGTCCCCCAATACCTAAGTTTGTTTTTTTTGGTGCCGTCCTTAAAGATGTCAGCTCGGTCCCGTAGGAGTAAGCGGCTCAGTGACACACCTGAGAAGCGCTCCCGCCGCCTCGGACTGCGTTTCCCATGGTGCTCTGGGGCCGCGCCGCCGCGCCATTGGCGGAGACGGCCGGAAGAGGCGGTGCGGGGGCGGCCGCGGTCCGGCGGGCGGCAGCCGTGCGGGTCTGTGCGGAGCGACCGTCCCGATGGCAGCGCTGAAGTACGCGGGGCTGGAGGACACGGATAGCGAGGAGGAGCTGCCGCCGGGCTGGGAGGAGCGCACCACCAAGGACGGCTGGGTTTACTACGCCAAGTAAGGCGGGGCGGGCCGTGCCGTGCCGTGCTTGCAGCCCCGTGCCCGCGGGTAACCTCCGTGGGGAGCGAGCGGCGCTGACCCGGGAGCGCGGGGTGCGGGGGCCGCCGCGTGCCGCGCTCTGTGTGAAGGGCGCGCGCTGAGGCTGTTCCGCGTGCGGGAGGTCCCGCGTGCAGCGGTGCAGTTCGCTTTTTAGCTTTCCTCTGTGCAGGAATAGGAGAGAAACGCGCGCGTTGCGAGTTGAACGCGATAAGCGCGCTCTTTGGGCTCTTCCGCGTGCTGCGGCTCGGATTTGCATTTGGCACCATCTGCTGTGTCACTGACGATTGCGGCGTCGTCGCCGCTTACAGAAGGGGTGTGCTGCAAGGCGGCTCACTAACTGGGGTTTGCGTTTGTGTCTTTTTTCCTCTTTGCTGGTTTCTGTAGCCTTAAAGCCTCTTAGCCGTTAAAGGGTTACTCTCTTCCTCAAGAAGAGGGGAAGTGCCGTGTAGTCAGCACAGCTGAGACCTGTGCTGAGCTGACTTCATCCCCTGAGTTTGGAGGCCGGGCAGGAGAGGCACTGAGGGGCAAGGTTAGTGGGTGTGCGTTAGAGATGGGCTGGGCCATCTTAGTGTTCTTTTGCACCCTTAATGGTTCTCTGTGATGCAGATTCCTAATTCAGGTATCTTTATCTGAAGCATTGTTTATAAACACTGCGGACTTGTAGGTGTCTGTTTGTCTTGGGTCCATCTCCTGTACTTTTATTTTGATGTCAAGAATTCTTTGAAAAATAAATGGCTTGCAGAAACTGGCCAACCTACAGAATAATAAAATGCTCCTTCTTGGGATGTGTGCTTGTTGTGCAGTTAATTCAGCTGTATGTAGTTAGTTAGCGGTGGTGAAACTGAAATAATGCCCTTTACATCAGTGGTGTGATGCATCCTTACTAGCTGAGAATGCTTCCCAGCGCGTCAAAAACATAGTTGGGATGAAGAAGTGTTGCAGTACTGCTGCTTTCAGTGCATGCTCTACACCTGTGTTAGTTCTGCAAACTCTGGGCATCTGTTTTCATGCCTCATTAACAACACGAACTTTAAACTGGAATAGGAATATTTTGGTTTAAAGCCTTTAAAGCTCTTTGCGATGAGTCAGTTCTGTGCCTAGCTGGTTACCAAAGCTTGGTGGGCACGCATTTCTTAAGCTATGATACTTAGCCTAACAAATGAACAAAATATTAAGTGGTGTTATAAGGTGGTGATGTATTCATATCAGACAGCAGGATCTTATTTATCTGTACTATAAGAACATCCTGAAGTATGAGCGCTGCTCAAACAGGCACTTACTGAATCTCAGACCACCAGCTGTGGTTTCTGTAATAGAAAACACTGTGAACTGCGTGTTTTTTTAAGAAGGAAGAGTGGCATATGTGGTGTGCATGTTGCTGGTTGCACTTGAACTAGCAATTATTTGTGTATCTCTCAATAACACTGTCAGTTTTTATTTGGAACTTGAGCAGCTCTCAGTGGGGCACTCTTTAAGAATGATCCCATCCTGAGGCTGGATTTTACCAGAAAAAGTATTATTAGACAATTTTTTTTTAAAACTTAAACTTTTTTTCTTTTTCCCTACAGTCACCTGGAAGAAAAAACACAGTGGGAACATCCTAAGTCTGGGAAGAGGAAACGTGTTGCAGGAGGTTTGTGTTAAACTTTTGTAATGAAGTAAAATTACGTTACAGAAATCAGTTGAAGATTATGCAGGAGCTATATTGATCTCTCACCTGGACAAGCTGAGGTTGGAAAATATAGCTGATTTCAATGGGGTGTTACTGATTGATGTGATTGTTTCTGTGTATCTCTGGCACAGAGGGAAGTCGCATTAGTCTCACGTTTTTCTTGTTTTCCCTAACTGTTGAACTTTTGTGTCAGAACAGAAGATACCCATTCTTGCAGAACTCTTCCAAAGCCATACGATTTCTCAAGGGCCTTGAATCAGATCTTCCTAGAAGCTTCTGTGTGGTGTACTTAGGGATACTTCTGTGAAGCAGGGAATTGAAGCAGGAAAAACCCTCATGATAACCTCTTAACCTTATCTGAGCTAGAATGTGGTTTTGGAGAAAAGAAGAGCTTATATTCGTTGGTAGGATTTTTGAGTAGGACTGACTGGATATTTGAAGAGAAAGCTTAACTAAGTGTTTTTTTAAAAAAAGAGATTGCAAACAAAGCTTTTCATCTGAAATGTTTTGTGTAAGTGGATAAATGGTGCAGAATTCTAATATTTTAAATACACTGATACTATATAGATAATAATATAAAAGTCCCTGTTATACCTAGTTTGGGTAATGAAAAAGGAGCATAGTGTAAAAGAACATACCAGGTGATGCTGTTACTATGCAGTTGAGGGTTTGTGACTTATACTTTGCTTATATTATTCTGGAGAAGAACTAAAGCCCCTAAGGAAAATCTGTTGACAGTCCATATTTGTTTTGCTTATGGGACTGTAACTTAAATGTTCTTACTAGATTTTGAACTGATGCAATTATAACCAACCAGTTTCACCTATGTTCAGTAATGCTGTGAAAATGCTCTGTTCAGTACTTGAGTGTCTGTTTTTTCCATCTTTGATCTAACATATCCCATACTTCCTTCCTCCAGGGTTCTGATCTTCCAACTGTTACATTGTAACTTTTCCTACATTTAGTTCAGTGTTTTGACAATTTAATTTATCAGGGTTAGGTACTAAACCATACAGTTTAGTGTACAAGTGTACAGACACCTATATATGTATGTACTAGAAACCGTGGTAACATTTTGCTGTTTTGTGCTATAATATGATGTAATCTGTATGAAGAATTTCTTACTATGCTGGTCATTACAATTGTATAAGCTCTTTAGGTTGTACTTCAGAGAAAAATTGTGTGGATTAAGAAAGCAACTCTCCTTTCAAGTTCCAATATTTAAGTGCAGCAGGAGCCTGAATTACCTACAGAAATAACACAAGCTGTTGCCAACATCTATTTGAGAAATCAGGAACTTTGAATCTGATTGTATTCGAATGCCTGTAAGGAGGTAATGTTTTTGTTTTTCCTAGGTCTGCCGTATGGATGGGAGCAGGAGACTGATGAAAGTGGACAGGTCTATTTTGTAGAGTAAGTATTATAAAGATGTAGAATATGGAGAAGTAGAACAGCTGTTTTAGGCTGGGTAGCCTTTTTTTGTTATGATACAGAGACACTATTTATAAGTAAAACTTATAAAGTATGTATAAAACTTAATCAGTATGTAATTACTATGGATTTAGCAACTTCTAAATTTACATTTGTGATTTACTGAATAATTCCATGTGTGTAGAAATAGTAACTTGGGTGGCAGATTGAAGTGACAAATTGCCAATGGATCTTCAGGCAATGTTTATGTAGGTGCATTCAGTTTATTTAACTTCACCAACACACTCTGCATGTGTAAGAGAACTGTTATGCCATGACCTGAACTAGTGATTGAGCACCTGTTGAAGGAGTAGCTGGCCCAGTAAGCACAGGTGCAAACAATTTGCCTACCCTTCCCATATGACTGGAAGGGCTCCATCCTGCGCTCATTTAAGGGCTAGCCTCCAAAAGGGGGATGTCTCCAGGAAGAAGGCCACTTCTTAAGAAGCGTTCTGTAGCTAGGGACCCTGTCACCAGTTGGATGAGTCAGCTTTTTCCTGTATGTCATTAGAGATATTCCTAATGACTCTGCCTAGTGTGGCAAAGAACTTACCAGAAGCAATTTCGCTGCTTCCAAGGACCAGCAACATGTGACTTCAAAAACATAATGGTAACTTCATGACTTGGTATTGTTACAATGCTGCTTTGAAGATAAAAGATGGAAACTAAATTGCTGCACCTCTGACTCATTGTAGTCTAAAGAACTGAAAGAAAAGTGGATGAGAATTAAGGTAGTGTAGAACTTCAGAAGGCTAAGAGAGAGAGGTTCACAGAAGCAGGAAAAGATTTCTGAGAACAATTCCTTCCTGTGTATTTTCAGGAACAGAATCAAAAGGAATAGTTATCTTAGACTGACATGGCAGAATTAAGAATGTTTACAGGCCAAAATCACATAGCTTCTTTGTCCTGTTACAAAGGGCTGAAGACTGAAAGTTACTGCTCTTTCTGATAACTGTCTGAAGAAAGCTAACCTGTGTTACAGGAAGGTGAACTTGACCAAAAAAAGCCGTTAACATAGCTGATATGAAGTTATTTGTTTTCAGTTGTTTGAAGGAGAAGATGGGAAAAAAAGAAAAAAAGTACTGAGCTATATTTCTTGTTGAAATATTGCTTCAAGGGAGTGGTACAGGTCCCTTTTGAAGAGCTCTGTATAGAAGGTAGTATTCCCTAGTATAATGTGATCTTTTTTTTCCTGTGAGAAAATACTGTTTATATGTGAGTGTCAGCTCCAGAATCAAATTGTAATGGATCTGTATACAGTTTCTCATGGACACTACCACTGTAAGAAAAAGAGCTAGTAAAATAATTAGCATAATTTTAACAAAAGTGGGGAAAAAATGACTTTGGGGCTTTTAAATAATAAACTGGAATAGTACAAAACAGTGGTTGAAATACACAAAATTATATGCAAGTACAGTATGGTCAAAGTGGTGTAATTTTTCTGTTCTTTTACAGCCACATAAACAAAAGAACTACCTATCTGGATCCGAGATTGGCCTTTACAGTTGAAGATAATCCAATAAAGCCACCTACTAGACAAAAATATGATGGAAACAGTACTGCGATGGAAATACTTCAGGGTCGCGACTTGAGTGGAAAAGTGGTTATAATCACAGGAGCAAATTCGGGAATAGGTAGGTTGCCATTACACGTACAGTAAAGTGTGACAATCTTTGTCTTACAGGCTAATTTGTCATAATGAGTTTTTCTAAATATCTGTATGCTTGTGGTATTTGAATGTGTTTCACATTGTGTGGATCTAAAGGCTCTAGACAGTAAACTTTGTTCAGGCTTGTGTACTTTTTGTAATAAAAGTGCAGTGTATGTGGAGCTTAGAGGAGAGCCACGTGGATGACAAAGTTTTGAAGCAACTGATTTTTTGGTATAGTAAATATTGATGGAAGTATTTTATGTCATAAAAATATATCAAACGTGACTTAAGGGGAAATGAATAGTTTCTTTTTTTATCATCTTGATGGCTAAGACAAGGAATAAGGTTTGTAATGCTGCAAGGGAGTTCAGACAAAATATCGAGGAAAAATTTTATAATGGCAACAAGTAAACTCAGGTAAAGATTTTCTGCAGAGACTGTGGGATCTTTATGTCTGGAGATATGTTCTGCCTGATGATGAACTTGTGTTAGAATTCTATAGTGGTTGATTGTTTGAGGCAAAAAGGAACGTCTGTGTTCTCTTAGTATTTTCTAGCTGGCTCATAAATTCTTTTAGACGTGCGTCCCGTCTAAATATCTGTTAGGTAATGTCATTCTTGTAGTTGGTGAGTATTTGAGAGCAGCTATTATATAGCTGCTTTTGTTTTACTTTTGTCCTGAAGTTTAGCTCTTGAGGCTGTTCTGAGGAAAGAGAATTCCTTCTCCAACTTGCTAGGCTGTTTGAAGTTCCCCTCAGCAAAGGAAGAGCCACAAGTACAAGAACCATCAGTGTGGTTTGGTGTCAGATTTGAACACGTTAGGTAAACTTAGGATTCACCTAAATCCTAGATAACACTTTTTCCCCTCTTATGAGGACTGTACTTTTTCCATTTTCTTCGTGGTGGGACCTTGTGAATATTGAAAACTCTTATGCAAACTTTTTAGAGTAGGATCTTGACTGAAATATATCCAAGAACACTGGAAAAGCAGTGTTATCTGACAAGTAACAGATGGAACATTTAAAGCTTTTTTTTTAGTTAGCAATTTGTGCACGTATCCTGTAGTCCTTGTTATAGTCCTGTAGATTAGTATTGCAGTTAGTGCAGCAAGCATCCACAAAAAGTTTGTGTTTTTTCCTATAAGATTTACACTCTGCATTTTTAGTACAGAATGTCTTGAAACTGTATCCAGCTGCAGAATTTGCTCTGTGTACAACTGTGCAGTTTCAGAACACTTAAGAATGAGAGCTTCATCAGGAGAAGAGCTGCTGCTCAGACTTACTGAATGAGCTAAGTTGTTTCATAGATGGTGAAAGATTAATCCAAGGTGTATGATGCTTTGGTCAAGGCTTTTTCCTTGGTTTCTCCCTTAATTCATAATCTGGAGTGATCACAAGCAAGCTATTCTTGCATCAGGTCTTGTTCACAGGCGAAACTATTGACTATAGGAACACGTTGTAAAATGAGCATCTGAAGTAACAATGAATTGTTGTTTATTGGCTTTCTTTGTTAATTCACCAGCTGGCTGGGTAGTATGCATGTGATTTTTTTTTTTTTCTTTTCTTTTTTGACCTGTTCTTTTTTTCAGTTTAAAGTTAATGCATGTAAGCACATTTACACAGGAGTTTGTGTACTGTTCAGCCCTGTGTGTGTGTGCATGTGTGTTTATGCTTAAGCACTCTTACAATTTACTGACAGAGACTTACTGTGTACTGCATGCACTTTTAGTTTTACCCCATGTCAGATGCATACCAAAGACCATACCAAGACCAAATGCATACCACAAGCATTAATGAATAAATGAATGAATAAAGTATTAATGAAATAAGCCTTAGGCATGTACTTCTTTATGAAGCTGGGACATAGAGAGTACAGAACTATGAAGCTGATGTAGTAAATATATTTGATTAAGATGGTGTTGTGGCCTGTATAATTCAGCTGATGCATAACATGTTGCAGTTAGTGTTGCTGTAGTTCCAGGCTTCTTGTTGGATGTTATTTACTGGTTGCTGTTGGAGCAAGGCTTAAGAAGAAAGCAGTTCTGGGGTTTATGTCTGTTATGTTAGCTTGCTAAAAGTCACACAGATACTTTGAACATGTCTGTTGTGTAATGGATTCCAGTGTGGAGATCCATGTGGGCTTTAGTATGTCTGTGTAGTGTTCTTGGGTCATCCATGTGGAAATACTAATTTGAATGTGTAAATATGTGGAAATACTAATGTGGAAATACTACCTTGAGCATAGTCTAAGCAATTTTGGAGCTTATTCCCTGTGCTAGAAAATACAGAATTATACATATGCCATTAATTTTCATTATATATGCAATTAATTTTCATTAGCGACTTGACGATGGCTAAAGAGTTACTTTGTTCGTACAGTACAAGGAGCTCATAGGAGATCAAGACTTATCAGTGAAACATTTTCTTTTTTTTTTTTTCTTTTTTAAATTTTTAAATTTTGGAAGGTTAAAGAGGCAGTAGTTCTCTGGCTTCTTGTACGGATAAAATAATGCTTTCTGATTGTTTCACTAGAGGGCTCTGTTGCTCTTTGGAAATGTTGAACAAAAGCCCAGGTGCTTTTTGCTGCTTTTTGGTAAAAGCTCCTGAAATGTTGTGTATGTATTCTTATCAGAGCAAGATTAAATAATAATAATAAAAAATTAAGAAATACATCAGATGTTATCTAAGCTTTATTTTGTAAACAGTGTTGCACTTTCAACTGTTCAATATTACTTTTTTAAAGAACAATTGTTTTTAATATCAGGGGAAGTGTAGTGAATTTGTTATTCTGTGCCTAATGGTGTATGCTGCTGTGTAGTTTTAAGATTCACACAGTGACGTGACCTTGAAATACACATTCTATTTCCTGTACCAGGTAAAGTTGTGTTTAGCCTGTTATGACTGATAGAATATGAATGAGCAGCAAATTGTAAGTGCTATGGTGGTATATTATGGAGGCAAAATGTGTATGTTCTGTGCAGTCAAACAGGTTCCACGAAGGACTTTTAAAAATCTGTTCCCCAGATTTTTTTGCAAGACTGTATTCATTATCACATCCAAACTGACACAAACACAATCAACTGCTAGTGTAATATGTTTCATTTTGTGCTACGTGAAGGTCAAAAGACATTTCTGAATTGCCTTTCTGAGGGATGCCCAGATGAAGCACGAATTGTCTCTAAAAAATGTAAAACATTTTTGGCTTCAAGCAGCATAACTTTTTAAAATGCTGAACAAAATCCAGAAACTTCAGTTATAATGCCATTTGTTTTAATGTTTTCCTTGATTATGCTTTATCAGAGATGATATTTAAAAAAACAATCAGAAAAACCAAAACAACAAGAACTGTCAGTTACTGTTTTGGTTAAATAGAATTCTCTCACCTGGTGCTTTTATTGTTATGAAATGAAGTCTTAGCTAGGAGGAAAGTTATATAAAAGTGCTATTAATCAGTTCTTAAAAATTCACTCGCTTCTTCAGTGAGTTTTCAATCTCCAAATACTTTTGGTGTGAGAAGCTATCTTTATTTCTTTTATTTTTTTGGACAAAACTTCAACATTAACAGCTTTCATTGTGCTGATGCCAAAGATTGGGATATGTAGTTACTATAAATGCCTGCTTTATAACTTAGGCTCTCTTGGATAACTGACCTCTCTAGTTGTAGATAGTAAAAGCAGAAGTTTCTGTTTTACTCCTCTCCTGTAGCTTTTTACTTTTGATTCTGTTGGTGTATTATGTTTTGTGTGGAAAGATAAAATACAGTTATCATCTGTTTTTTTTAATCCTTCTTTTTAAATTGATTTAAGTTACTTCCATTTCATCCCTTTAAATAAATGTAGTTAATTGATTATCCAATATCAGCTATAGGGGGAAGAGAATTAGACTTATAACTCATGTTTTAGTTCAAATAGCAGAACAGAATAGAGCCTATGAAGTTTTTGAAATGTGCTGTAAACATATTTATTGAGCTGTATTCCCACTATCAAATGGCATAATTAATTGCAGTGAGTTTGTGTAATTCTGCAAACACCTCTGAGCACTGAAAGTGTAGAAGGTACCATTTTGACAATGGGTAACTTGATGATTTACTTATGTGCTACTGTGATGGTAATGTTAAGTGATAACATCTCATTCACCCATGCTGGTGCTTTAGTGTTAACTATGGGTCGTGTGTCTGTGTGTTTTATCATGTGCCTTTCACAGTATCACCTGCCCCAAACTCAGAAAGCTTCTTCATGCAGGGCATTACAGGTGTGGTTAGCGTTTGTTGATGAGTACTTAATTTAGTAATGGGTTTTTAAGCTAATATGTGTAGGGGATGCGAAGTTAAATTTGTGGAGATGGTTGAATGTCTGTAGCACATGCTGGAGAGTTTTTACCAATGTGCTCCATTGGGAATGGAGAGAGATGAGTTGTTGTTGATCAAAAATTGCTCTGTACCTGTAATGAGGAAAGTTTTGTGAAGGTGAGGAATCTTTCTAGTAGCACAACTTGCTGAGATGACTTGTGGACAATGTAGCATTTCTCTGAGGCTGGCTTTTATCAGCCTCTTTGAAGTAGGTAACATTTGCTGAATCCTAATTAGAGCACTGAATGGTCTAATTTGACTCAAACTGAGATCATATGGAAAGAATAAAAACAGATCCTTGCAAATACCACTGAGGACTTTCATTTTAATGGTATTAGTCTGAGTGTCTTAAGTATGTTCCTTGTCTTTTGCTGTAGTGCATGGTGTTTGGTGGTCTAAGCCTGCTGGTGTTTGAATCTGTCAGGGAGGAATAGTTCAGCTCTATTTGAGCTGTATCACACTTTGTTCTTGAAAAATTATGTTTCTCTTTGAAAGCACAAACTTTTTAAAATATTATCTATCCCTTGTTTTCAGTTGGAATGATTTTTAAAAATTATAATATTGGTAGGACTTCTACAAAGGAGCTGCTCAAAACAGTGCTCTGTTTCAGTTTCACGGTATGGTTCCATGTGTGGTT